TAGTTTAGTGGGCTAAAATGACTATGACAGCCTTTTGGGGTATTATTTAATTTATATTTGTTATGTATACATATGCGTACATTTTAGGCAGTCGGGCACACGAGGGACCTAGATTTGGGTTGCCTATAATTATGTAATAATAATAATAATAATAATAATAGCCGTTATTTAACCTGGCGGGTGTCAGCTAAAAGCTGTTTTTCATACCAACCAGGGCCAAACAAAATTATAATACAAAATCTGGGAGACATAAACATTGTTGAGTAACAATAATGAAAAATCTATTATGTCAAGAATAGGCATTTTTTTAATTTAAATGTATGCACATTCCTGACCTTGCCTTCTCTGTAATGGTTTTTGTGCATATAGTATCAGTACAGACTGAAACGGATCAGGCAATAGAACGAATCCTGGGAAAGCGAATCCAGACCGCTCAGCACTCTGTTACTTAGCACCACGCCTGCACTGATTAGAAATTATCTACACGAAACAACTTTGGTATATTGTACTAACTCTAGTTCCACAGTTCCTACATAACTTGCGGCAACTAAACACAGCTTTTGAGACCTAGATATTGTGTAATCTGGGTCGCGTGATTTATTAGTATACCGCCAAGAACTAGGGATCGTATTAAACCGGCATAAATGAGAGGATTACAGTAGGTAGCCTTTCCGTACATAGCACAGGATGAAGCACTTGCCTACTAAGATATTGTTGTTTTGTTACTAATTCACTGGCCAGCAATAAAATATATTTGTTTTCTGGTGTTAAGTAGTCCAAACTAACTAACTTTCGATCGATATAAATAAATTTGATCATATTAGCTCTTGCTTTCAGGATAGACACAAACTTATCCAAAAATTATATAATATGATAGGTAGATCGCTTAGAACTGCTTTATGACCACTAAAGTGAATTGTGGTAATTGCACACTACTGACTACTGACAGTCATATCAGGTGGCTTATTATGTTGTTTGTTTTATTGATTATTTTGAAAAATGGTGGATAATAAGGACGCTTTCGGTATTTTGGTAAATAAGGTAGATTCGGCAACGCTGTACTCGAAGACTTGATTGACTGCATTGTTTTTAAATCGATAGGCATTGTTGTCAGATATACAGAGGATTGGCAAATGTAACACTACCATTTTATCGTGAAGACCCAAATCATCAGATTTCATTAAACATTAAAAGTTGAAACCATTATGCAGTATTAAAGTCTCTCGTTCACGGAATCTCGATTTGTTGCTAGCACCCCATTCCTTATTTAGAGTATTGATATTGACCGTTTCGTATATTCGTTCCATCTGACGCAACGAATTTAGACTAGGTAGAAAGAGCCAGTTAAGGAATTGATTGTTTCCTGATTATCACAGTATGTAAGTGAGGATCAAAGTCAATTTTTTCAAAAGTCTGTCACTAAATTCGTATATTTAGTAATATTTTTTAAAAGTGTGAGCGTTTGCGGTTAATTGTGGTGTTAATGATTTCATTATAATCTGGAAAGAGCGGCACAAGCTTAATGAAGGTAGGTGTTTCCATTGGTAAGTATGAGTATTATGTTGATACAATGCTGTCACTTTGGTAGGCATGGGTATTGGGTAGACCAATTAGTGATCAGTAAACACTAAAACCACGCAATCTTGCGAACAATGCAATTGAAACAATGTAGGTGTCGTTTTTTTGAAATTATATAGGTTTTTTTTGTAGCATTATATACTTTTTTTGCACTGTATATGGTTTTCGTGGCATTATGTAGGGATTCCTATAAGATTTCTACTTAGAACCAGCTGTTGTTTATTTGATGTGCGCTTGTGTAGCTGTACGTGTTGCCTAAACCTCATTACGCTTGAATTATTGGAGGTCTAAGCTGTAAGCCGTATACAACAGCTGTAAGAAAACGGGAAAAACGGCAGTGCATAGTGAGGATTTTTGTTCTAATAATACTTGTTGATAATTCCCTTGGATTCTTGACTTATATACACTTACTTGAGGTGTATGCTTCATCCTAGGAGTTACTCGGCAAATTTGCTGAATTTTAAAAATGAGAGAGATGAAAAAAAGAAAATATCTGCTTGATGAAGTATATTACAACTAACAGTTCAGAAAATGAGCTACAGACAGCTACATCTAATGTCAAAAGGTTATTACATTATGCATTATTTTTGATTCCCAATCTGCGCCTAGATGTGAGGCACTGCGAAAATGTTTTGTGTGTGATGCGTTGCTCCTATTTTTTCTGCGACGTGGCTTAATTTTCATACAACATATGCGCGAAAACGCAAAAAACCTGTGTAAAGTCGTAATTTATAACTTTGAACACCACTTCTCTTCAGAAGTGACGCTATGGGTGACACTCACAGCGAGCAAGGGCAAAATAAACTATTTGCACCCTAGCAGCTACCTAGTCAGCAATTTAACATTTTGTGGGCTTTTTTGACATTAATTAGGCTTTCTGCGTAATAACCTCGCGGATCCACCACAGGATTCGTTTAATCGGAACGGATCGGAGGGGAACGACACAGCTGTAGTATTAAGCAAACATACATTAAAATGCAGAGTAGTATGTATACAAGACGAATCTTCAAAGCGACCTCCAAATTTATACGTGTGACCAAGTTATTTGTTAAGATGAAAGAAACTAACGCCGCTGAAACGAGAAATAAATGAGTAGATATACCTTTATTAAAAATAAAGTACAGACGCTTGCAAAGTAAGCGAGGGAATTTTTAAATGAGCTAGGGGAGAGAATGAAAACAGAGTAGGAAGAAAAATTGGAATAATTGTCTTTTATTAAATATTTTCTCGTGATTTCGGTAGAAAAACAAATACAAAATATGTAATTATGACCAAAGATTGCTTACTCAGTAATAAGATGAGCCTTGAGTGAAAGAATTCGGGCTACCTTGCAGTTAATTTATAAGCTTTATCAGATGGATTTACTCGTATGGAGGTTCCACCGTCCATGAAACTCGAATTATTTGCCCATCACTACGTATGCCGAACTTTAGTAAAATAAATAGCCTCGATAGTCTTTTCACTCGCAAATATTTCCAGAAAAAGTCCTTGCTTTTTCAGATAACACGCATTTACTGGCTATCTCTTCTCCTGACCAGGTAGGAGCACCGTGTGGTAAATCTAGTTAGATGTGTGCTTGACTAGGCACTAGGCATTAAGGTCCACCCTTTGCTGAAGCCGTTGGGCCACTACCATTTTCGGACCTCCTATTTGTAGCCCTCCTGCTTTGAAGCTTAGTTTTTGGATGTTCCTTAGCCTTGGGTCAACTTTTTTTGGATTACCCATCAGCCCTTAGACTTGGCTCGCCTTTTGGAGACCTGCCTTTTTTGGATCTCTATTTGGGCATTACTTAAGATCTACGAAATTCGAGAAATAGTTAAAAAATGACATCAAGTAGATCGACTCTATACTTCCTACGACTTTGTTGGGAGCTCCAAAGAAAAGGGTTTTTTCAAAAGGCGGAATTGGATCGTGACTAGGTAAGTTCACTCAGCCACGGTGAATGTTCGACCTCTGCCTCTATGACAGACGGATGGAAGATATGTGTGCCTCATTATATCTATCAGGAACATAGTATTATCGGAATCAGCAGCTTCTTAATAATAGAAGGTATTCACTAACACTAAATATGCAACCATTTACAGCTTACAGCTTCTAAGCTACAATATCCAACCCCTCCAAACAATGAGCAGAAATCTCTGAAACTTTGTATAACACTATGTTTCAGCATTTTTTATTTTTTTGTTCGCAGTTCCGTCGCCGCTGAATCAATTTCCGAAATCAACGACTACTTGAAGAATGAAAGTCGTCTGTTGTTTAAAGGTATCAGCATATCACAAGTCCGTGTTTCTCATCTATATCGGTTTGTCAGTATGTGTCTCTTGTATATCTATGGTTGGTAAGTACTGAGTCAACATACTTGACGAAATATTCTTAGAGCTATCATATATACTCAGTAACACAAATTAAAGGTTACACAAAATGGATCATAGAATTCAGAAAACAGTTAAGCAATTATTTACAAAGACATTGCAGAACGCTAAAGTGGCAGGTACCCCTAATACCCAATTCTTCCTAAAATATATAAACCTGACTGATACTATAGGCATAACATTTACCTACAATCCAAATCCTCAATTTTCAACCCCTACAAATTTTTTTTCGAAAATGATCAGTAGCCTTTGCAAAGTCAAAGAAACGAAGCTTAAGTGATTTTTATTTTTTTCCTTCCACTCCGCCGCCAATGAATCAATATTCAAAACTACAAAGCTTTTGAAACCTTGGCATAATAGTAACCTTGTGTCAAAATTTCATCAAAATATGAGCGGTACTTCACAAGTTGTAGACGGGCCAACGATTAGCGAAAGGCAGAGAGACCGACAGGTAAATATACAGACCGATACACCGATGAAAATAGGAATCTTTCAACATATGGCTTCCAAAAAAGCACAATAATAGAAGTAATAGAAGTGAAAAAGAAACTCACCTGGAAGACAGGAAACAAAATATATTGTCACAAAATTGTCAATTTCATTTGAAAGATTTGATCGAAATGTCGGACAATAAACAAATATCCAAACATATATGTAGTTTTAATTCGGCCAGACGATGGAGTTCTTCTAATACCTAGGTTTGAAATTTGAACAAGCTACTTTGATACCAATACATCTATTGGCCGCTAGAAAAGTCCGTTTCCTGAATGGTTTCAGTGCATATAATATTTGAGTTAGCTGAAACGTAATTCCACATACGTTGGAGTTACTATTACTGCTATCTGATTGTTGCACATCTATCGAAAATAGAAATTGCTCACTTTAACCGTCCATGAAATAATTGATTATTTTTGAGTGATTTGACCGCCTGCAAAATACACAGTTACTAATTTAATACAGCAATACAATTATATAAAGTGACGCAAACTGAACGGTGTGGTTTGAATTATTTATAACGCGCGCGTTTTTCTAAGTTTACTTTTTTTTAAGATTTAGATCAGAGAAGACTTGGGGAACTTGATATGAAGGGATACACCATAGAACAACGAATGGAAGTCGTCAAAATCTGGTTTGCATTGAGGATGAAAGAGGTTTCTGTATTTTCAATCGATTATATAGGGCCCTTTAACTCCACTACCATTTTCAAACTCTATTTACTTGCTTTAATGAGAAACGTCGAAGTAAACGCTTTATTTTCCATTATTGATAGTACAGCTGCAACCCTCATACATCACTTCAATTATGCCAGCAGAATATCCCTATAACATATTTAGCCCCCGAGGAGCAAGTTTGAATTTGCATTTTAAAAGCATTTTTATCCAATATATCAGTGGAACTTCCCCAAACTTGATTTACGATTCCTGCAGTTGCGGTTGCCTTTTCGGAGTAACTTTCCCGATCTCCAGAGTTGCCTTTGGAATATCCCGAACATGTGTTACTGAACTTATCGAATTTATGACGGATCATGGTCTCACATGTGCTGAGAGATCGTGCGATACCATATTGAATTTGTACTCGAGCTGTTTCGGGCTAAAATTCTTTGATGTGAAAAATGCAGTTCAGTTATATAGTATGTTGCCAGCCGCGCAGCTCATGTATCTTGGTTAGTGCAAGTCTGCTGAAAAATAGGATGACTCTGTACTTACCACGCAGGCGATGCAGTCAGACGCACACAGAGTCTTGCGCATGCAGGTTGTCATCGTCCCGAACGATATATTTGTCAAAGTTTTAAGGGCAAATGTACAGGGAGACATCTGTGATGTGTGAAATATGTGCTAATCTGTTGCCACCAAAAAAATGATATAATATACCATCTCCCATCTCCTATAACTATCCACCTAGATTTTTAACCTCTACAAAAGTTTTTCTGAAAGTGATATGGAAGCTCTGACAAACCAAAAAACGAAGTTTGAGCGATTTTTATTCTTTCATGTGTTTTCCCCTATTTCTGCCGCCACTGGACCGACTGTCGAAAACTTTTTCGTTCTTGGCACAGTAGTAAACTTGTGTGAAAATTTCATTAAAATCCTAGCAGTGCTTCCCAAATTATAGACGGCTCAAAGATTGCCGAACAGGCGATCTCATGATTGACCTCATTTTTGGAAAGGAGAAGCTTTTTTGTAAAAATTGATCATACGAAGTCCTTTGAATTTGACATATCAAGGCTGTGTATTAGGACCTTTAATCTTTGTATTGTTTGCTAATGACCTTCCTTTGTATATATGTGAAAGTACACCATTCTTATATACTGTATAATTGTATCTGCTAACTCAGTGGAAAGGTTTGAGCAACGAACAAGAATTGTTATGAAGGAATTGGTGAATGCTGCTGTCACAACCGCCTAATCGTCAACTGTAACAAGACTGTAACCATGGAGTTCCACACCAGGCATAAACGTCAGACTAATATTAATTGCAACTTTAACGGATCTTTAATACAATCATCCGTGCTAATTAAATTCCGTGGTAAATGTTATTTTGTGATAAATTCTCCTAAAAATACCTTAGATATTTCATATTAGATTGTCTTGTGGGGGCAGGTTAAAGACGTCCAGCGTGCTTTTATCCTCCAAAAAAGGATCATCCGTTTAATTTTTACAATCCAGAAAAATACTCAAACGCTATCGTATTTTTACTGTGGCATCTATTTATATTTTCAAGCTATTAGTCTATTTTTTTCTTAATAAAAATAAATTTGAAAGACATCTCAATAGCATCGTAACTTACAATTCTCGTAATAAAGACAATTTAATTAACAATACATTTTTTCACACGTACTATAAAGGTCTCCAGTTTATGTTTTTTAACCTGCTTCTAGCCGACATACGTGAGGTTATGTCGTTAAATAGTTTTAAAAAAAGTCAACACACATTTTATTGGAAGACTGCTCTTACAGTATAGATGAGTTCCTCATTCATTTTAAAAACTAACATACCTGAAGGTACACTTTACGTTATCTTTTTATCTTAGTGTCGTCGTTTAAGTGTTTTTTATGTTTGAACATTGTATAGGTTTTATTTTTTTCTTATAACACATTCCATATCATCGCTTGATGTTTCATTGAATAATGAAATATAATTATTATTAATAAACAGACAGACAGACAGACATGCAGAAGCACAATATCCCATTTTCGAAATTTTACGCGACTACAATACCTCCTAGCCAGTAGGCGTGGGAAGTTGAATTATGTAGACAATGGGAGTCCGAAATAAAATCTTTTCAGGACCACACACGATGGAAGCCTCAAAAACTTAAAAGCATAATATTGGCGGACATTTTCAAAAACTCATGTCTGCAATCTTGACAAACACCTTTTAAGTAAATTGGAGTGCGTACCAAACCTTCAATACGTTGCTGAAATTCATTTTGTCAATAGCATACAAAGGATAGTATTCCATTGATCATTAAATTGTTGAATTGAGGGGGACCTGCTTATGTGAGATCCGGTCGGTGAACAGTGTGACTGTTAATGGGAGATCTCTAAACAATAATATCCGCCGTTAGTAATGAATACACTCCATTACGGATCACTCTCCGGCATTATTTGTTTGGAAACGGGATAAATCTAATCGAAACTAACGTAAACTGAGATCGGATTCAAATTAGTGGCTACAAGGTAGGATTCGTCGTTGATGTCGAGTACTTGTATACGAACGCCTTAAAGAAGTTAGAACCGTTTTGTACTGGAGTCAGGGAGACTTTATTTATGAACGTACATATCACAAACTAAAATATGAACGTTTTGTAAGCTCGTGGCACTAGCCTGACACCTAAACCAGTTAGTAACGCTTTCTGTCAAGATATTGTAACGTCTTCATATAACTCAGTCGTTGGGTGGCGCGGAGCGTCCTCGCGATGTTGACGCTAGGCAAGCAGAGTGAGTGCTTGCAGTCTTGGCCGAGGTTCAAGAATAATCGAGACTCATCTGGAAGTATGTACCTGCTGCCGTCTAGACCACTTCTATTGAGGTTCGCAAAAATGCTGGAATGTTTCTCGACTCGTCGACAGGGTAATAAATAACTGACCAGATGGCGCGCAGCTTGCTACTCTGAATTCCTGTATGTATAGTCGTATGGATTGGATTGACCGCACAGGAAAGAAGGTTGTTGATATGTAAAAGGAACAATGTCGAAGCCAAGATCCACTTCTGTAGGAAACACCCGCGTTTACGTTGTGGATTGAAGAGGAGGACCCCTTAGTTACGACGGATATCTAGTGACCAGAGAGGAAGTAAGCCACCTATCTGCTTCCCGGTGAGGCCATAGGATGAGCAGAGAATTGATTCAAGAAACGTGTAAACGAATACTTATACAAAATTGACATTGTAGCATTAATGCCAAATAAATCCTCAACCAGAAAACAGATATAGATAGAGAGGGCGGAAGGAAGACAATCTACGGACAAGGATGAACGAGTGAACGCGATAGTCCAGTCGACATAGTAATAAAGTTGTCCTAAGTTAGCTACAAGTGTTATAAATTAGTGTTAAAGTAATAAGAAATGTACAAACCAGACATATCAATCGATAAAGCAGCGCAAAAGTACGCAACTGGTGACTTAAGTTAGCATGAGAAAAGCCTCGGAAACGTTCCAAGAGCAATTTAATTGAAACCAAAGGCAAAAGAATGATACCGGGGCAAAAAAAGAGTAGCCATAGAGAGAAAACATCTATGAAGAAAACTTTTACACCCAAGCCTACTGGCGGGGAAGTATTTTAATCTCGACAATGTTCGAAAATGAGATATTGTGTTTTTTGAGTGTTAGGTATATGAATAACCGTAGTTCTATCAGTTAGTCTGTCGATCAGTCTCTCTGTCCGCTAATCTTAAAACAACTTGAGAAGCACCGCTCGGATTTCGATGCAATTGTTACACAAGGAAGCGAAAGCTTTGTAGTTCTAGAAAATCGCTCCAGTAGCGGCAGAGAAAAACACCAAAAACGATCTTAGCTGGCGGACAGTTGCTTTGAAACATGGAAAACCTTACGAGTCGCTGTATTCGGGAGGTTCTTGACCAATTCTGTGAGAATAGGTGCAGGGTTCGATTGGTATATTTCTTTTATTTATCCACTTATACAGGAAGGGCAAAGAAAGTCATGTTTCTTAGCAAAGTTTGTGGCTATGTCGGACTTTTTATCTTGGAAATTTTTCTATGCATCTTTTTGATCTTTGGACTATCCCAAAAAAAGGAATTTCTCAAAATTTTCTAAAGTTGGCTATAACTCAAATTATCGAATTTCCAACTTCCCGCAATAAATGTCTTTCGGTTTGACCTCGTACTTTTTTCTGATTACCCTCTCCATGCAGATAGAACGCTTGTCTGGTTTCATCCTAACTACCTACACCTCAAACATGCAATTGCTAAGCAACAATAATATTGACTGTAGACTTGACAGTATAATTCTATTTTCTCGAAAATACCTCGTCTTTTTTAAAGATAACGGGCAGGCCCTACAAGGTATAGTCAACGCCAAACAAAGTGGCGTGCACGTCATCACGATAAAAATTCCCCGACCTAATGCCTAGGTTTCTATCACAAACAATTGCTCTATTGCAGTTTCATATTAATGTGATATATAAATTGTAAAATGGTCATTACTCTCTTATTATGGTTAATAGTCATATAAACATTGTTATTAAAATATCACATAAGTTGCTTTCTGATAAATTTAGACGCATTATGCGAAATAAAATGTTTTGCAAACGCTCCAATCACTTATCGACATGTAAACGCACTAAACCGATTTCGCAGCGTTGACACATTGTCACCTTGAAACTTATTTAAACTGGGAACTGACATTTGCATTAATTTTGACACTGAATCAATTTGTGGCATTTCAAATCTTTATAAATCCTTTGGCCCCGCATACTGTAAATCAACAACTGTTTGTTTCAAAACAAAATTATTCATTTTACGAGTAGATAAAGGCAATTTTGGTATATAAAGATGCCCAAACAGTTATATAGTCGGTGTAAGGAACTCGTGGCCTCGTTAATGCACTACTTTGAGCAAGAAAGGGACAACAACGGGCCTTTGTTGCCTTTAAATGCTGTTCAAGAGGTAGGTTACTAATAATTATATGTAATGTATATTAATAATAGTGAAATTTTATTTCATTTTTTGTAGCGTGTTGCTGCTGCTTTAAAAATTAGTTTAAGGACAGTTAGTCGTATTTCCGAGGGTGTGAAAAGTGATGCAAATTTAGAATCGCCCAAGAAAAAGCGGAGTTATATTAAACGTGTAACCAACACAGCGACATTGGAT